TAATAAATCAAATAAATAGATAAATTACATCAAATAGATATATATATATATAATAATTATGCATTACTAACCTGACAGTCTCTCAACCAATTAATGATAACAATGATAACAATAAATTGTTTATTTTATCATCGTCTGTACCTAGAAACACCATTGGAAACATGGTGTATCATCATCCCTTAACATTTAATGAACAAGATTTATTAAATTTTGAAATAACACCGGATGTCTTATACATCAACCCATCAAATGCCACTCTTTACAATTTCACTTGGCCAAAACTTTTTTTAAAATCAAACTGCCAACAACAACAAAAAGCAACATGGGGTCCAAATGAAGCTCTGTCATGTTTAATTAAATGTGGTGCCAATCCTAACCTGATAGATCAACAGTGGGTATTGAATCATTACAAATGGATTGTATGGAAAATAAGTAGCATGATTAGATCATATCCTAATTTATTTCATTGTTGGTTATCATCTGATACAGTACTTGACCAATTAAAATACAGATATGAAAGAGAAATAAATCGTACACAAGGATCTGCTCTTAAATCAATTATAGAAGGGAATGCTTCACCAGCGTGGCCTATGGTTCTGTGCGTATCAGACATAATTGATGATAAAACCACTCCGTTAACACCACCGCCATTATCTTCTTCTTTTTCAATGTCACCAACACCACCATTTTCTCCTGTATCTCCACCTTTCTCCTATATACCAAATTCATCATCATCAAAAAACGGGTTAATAACCAGAGACACTGTTTAAACATTGATTTTAGTGCTTTAACTGAAACTTTGGCTCATGAATTAGCCCATTACTTTCAATATGGTAAACATGGACAAAGCAGTTGTGAAAGCAGTTAGGTAATTATGGATGAATGTATCTTCCTGAGGATCGCTCGGCTTCCACAACATTGACTGTTGTAATCTGTGATAATAATATAATATAAATTAAATTAGATAGAAAATTTTGGATAAAGAGATAAGTCTTACATAGATTCAAAAAACTCCAATATGAAATCTTGTTCTCCATTAATATTAAGTTTATTCTGCCATTCCCAGAGTAAAGTTTTGCAACTTTTATATGTGCCAGCTGCGGTCCTAACCATCTTATTACATTTTAAAACATCATCATCTGAGAGTTGTTGTACAAATGCTGCATTTATTTCATCAAAAATTTTTTTGATCAAATTCCCATCAAGTACTCTTCGAATTCCAACCTTCGAATCTTCCTCAAACAAAAAGATGTGATTTAGAGATCTGTAAATACCATGGAAAGAATAAGTAAGTATAATATTAGGATAGAACAAATTTGAGAAAATTAATGGTGAGTACTTACAGGACTTCTGAAGTGTTTGTCATTTTGTCATCTTCAGCTTTCTGAATACACGATTGTCGATAATTCATCAGTATAAGAGATATATTTATATCATCAACCATCCACTGTGCAGATGTTGATGTCAGATTAGGTCATTTAAAGTTTTCCATATTAAATCAAATTGAAATTATTTACATTGTTTGCATTTTCATCTAGTATACATTCTTTATTACCCAGACCAACAAACCATTCGTTTAGGTATTTTTTCCTAGTTCTTACATAGCTATCAT